TCCTTCAGAAGGCCAGTTTTACATGCTTTAAAAAAAAATTTAGAATATATCCCATGATTTCGACACTGTTGTGTCAGCCAGAAGACCCTGAGATTCCGAGTAGCAACCCCACAGCGAACTCACCATTAGCTCAGTTGCAGGAGACAGTGCAAAAGAGGGATACTGGCTCTGTTTGGGAAAATACCCTGACGAGCCCATCCAGGGAGGTGAGACCCCGGAGAATGAGCAGCAGCAGGTGCCGAAGCATCAGAGGAGAGGCGGAAGCCACTGGGGTGGGGCAAGGGGAAGAATCTGTGTGTGCCCCAGAGAGAAGTGGAAAAGCCAAGCCAAGCACATCCTAGAAAGCTGGGCTCTAGGTGATGTGGTTCCTTCCTGTGTCATAACAATGTTCCCAGATCCTGGAATGGCAATCACTTACCGATAATTACCTCTCGCCTCTTACTGCACATCTTCCCTGACGACCCCGCAACCACCTCAAACTCAACAGGCCCCAAATGAACTCTCCTCCTCCCCAGTTCCCCCAGGGGCTTGGGCAGCCCCCTGCACACCCCCTTCCAGAGTCCGGCCTGTCCCGTCCTCTGCCTCCTTCACATCTGTTCCATCCTCCGTATCCCTGTTGACACCACCTTCGTTTTAGCGAGTTTCTGTTTTCTTTTTGGGATTTCACTTTGGAGACGGCCACGAACAGACACAACGTTAGGATTAGGATTCATTCGGTTTCTAGACTAGAACATTGCTGACTCACGTGTGCTTCTGAACACTCCAGACTGTACTGATATTAGACCATTTGGTTCTGAGCGCAAAGAACACACTCTGAGTGAGGACGGAGTAGCGTTTCTCTAACAGAGCGATGTTCCCATATCCACCATGTGGAGAGAAGGAACGAAACCAGGAGCATGTAGGTGGGCAGGCCTTAGGTTGGAGGGAGGCTCAGGCTACCGGCTCTCTCAGGGGCCAAGGGAGGCTGGAGCTTGCACGCTGGACTGGGCAGACAGCGTTCAAGACCCTTCACAGCAAGGAAGAAGGTGGAGACTTTCAGAGGGTGGGCTGGCAGATGGCTGTTAAAGCAGCCTGGTGTGCCCCTGAAGATGGGCTTGCATTTGAGCCAGGGCTCTGGGGGTAGCCACGTGTCTGAAGTTGCATGTTACTTTCTATGTTGAACTGCCCTGCTAGTGTTCCTGAACTTAGGTTGCACACCCTCTTCTCACTGTGGGAAGGGTCTGGGCGATCCGTGGGAAGAATGGAGCGGTAATCTGGGGCTAGAGGAACAGTTTAGGGCACAAGAGACGACCAGAGCAGATTTGCAGAACTTGTGAGTTTCGCTGAGGATTTCCAGACCTCTGCGAATGGCCTCTCGGTAAATCTGACTCCCTGCATTTCAGCGAGGTGGAGGCTCAAGCCATTAAGACCATGTAAGAACTCACAGACCGGTCGCATATAGGTCTAGTACATTCTATGCTAAATATAGAGTTTCTAGGGCACCTCTGCATACTAAAAGTTTTAGTAGCTGGAAACAAAAACCACTCACAGCCAGAGGACTCTGCATCCAAAAGAGCATGTGATTCCTAGTGCTTCTGTCTCAGCTTCCCCCAGGAGGCAGCGCCCTGCCCGAGGTGGCAGGGTGGCGGAGTGACCTTGGCCCAGCGTTCACTGGCTGACCGCTTGAGGACTACAGCTCTTGGAGGGCTGGGGCTACATGGCTTCTGCTAAGAGATGAGGGAGTGGCAGGGGGCAGGGCATGAGGGAGAAAGCAGGGCAGCCCCCTCAGAATATCATTAGGCAGTAAATCCTAAGATTGTACAGCCAAGAGGTGTCTGATAGACCAACAGAAGGAGTAACCAACAGCATCCGTGGGAAAAATGTTTTCATTTGGCTCAGTCAGTACATCGCCCTCTTGCTGCCCAAGTCTGGGTGGCCTACCATTATTCTTCCCACTGTCAGAGAAGGCAGTGAGGAGTCCCAGAGCAGCAAATGTAAGGTGAGTGCTTTTTAGGAATTCTAGCACTGCTAGAATATTTACTGTAGCTATGAAGAATGCAAGTAGCCAAAGCCAGGTGACGAAAACCCTCCTGAAATGTGAATTCTGGGCAACCTGAAGACACACTGGGACTCCCCAACAACTGGGATGACAGCGTTGCCGTGGGGAAGGCTCCAGGCCACCACAGACTGGCATGGGGTGGGGACCGAAGATGATTGGTGCCACAGCGGGGACTGAGACGGGGCCAGGGCACTTTCCCCTTCCCAGTTCTGGCCACGGGTGTCACTCCAGCTCCTCCACGGGTAAAGCACAGAGCTAGCACTAGACACTATGAGATTTATAGTTAACACAGGACACTGTGCCTATTTAAGGCAGTAAAAGCAACCCACCCAACAGATGAAGATGCTGCTGTATCACAAGTGTGCAGATGGGGGAGGGAGGAGGTGAGGGGGGTTAAGAATGTTTATGGCCGGGAAATTCTGCTCATGGTTGGAATACATTGCTCGATTGCCAGGACTACCACGGGATCAAGAGCCCTTGGTGATGCAGCAGTACAGGACCTGTACTTCTGGTGACATGCGCAGGGTGACAGGCACAGGGCACCTGACGTGGGGTCATGACCCACACACATGCCAGCAGCCATCTCCTGGGCACCTCATTAAACCCCGGCTGTTTCTGCTAATTATCTGCCACCTCTTGTACAGCTACATAATCTTAGTTGGCCCTGGATTCCATAGTAAGTGTGTTTCAGAAGTTGGGTAGTTTTCTTAAAGTATTATTGCTATTCTATAATTTTATGTTAATTCTTAAGTAACAACCGTTGATTGACTCTAAGACAGTCTTGGCAACTTTGAAGTCAAAGGGGCCTTGGAAAGTAGAGAAGGAGAAAATCTGCAGACATTTCACAGTTCCTTACTGGGTGTGCTTCAGTGTCTCCCCTCAGACCATGGAGTGACCCGAACAGCGACCACATTCCTGGAAGGACCCGCGTCCTCCTTTGGACTTCCTGCTTTGCGGGTAGACGTGGTGTGATGAAAGGCCTCCCCCTCCCCCAACTAAGTTCTAACCAGCGATGGCAGGAATCATAACCCAGGGCGACAGGTAAGACCACGGAAACGATTCCCTGGCCATGTCCCGGGATCCCTGAGACTTCTGCATCCTCTGAACCCTGAGGTTGCCCATCTTGTCAACAAGTGACAGAGGACAGAGTCATACAGGTGATTTCTCTGCAGGCATGACCACTAGGTATGTCTCTTTAGGTATGACCGGGCTTCTTACCACCTGCGGGAACTGCTTGGGTGAACGGATGGAAACAGTGGGAAGTGACGCAGGAGGAAATGAAAGAAGCTCAGAGTGAAAACGAAAGAGATGGTGGCACGAGTTTACCATGGGGCTTCATTTCGCTTGTTAGCGTGTCCTAGGACATGTGGTCACTACACCCTGCACAGACTTTCAGGGACACGACAGACAGGCTCCCTCCCTTCCCTAATTAGAGAGAAGTCCAGGAGAGGTCCTGATTTGAGAAAAAGAGAGAAAAGAAGCGAAAACATAAAAAAAGGTCAGTGTGCGCCTTTCTGGTATGTGGGTGTCTGGGGTCCGCGTCCCAAACCCCATTCCTGCCTGACACTTTACTTCACTGTTGCTGACTGTGCGCATGGCCACAGGTCTTCCCTGGCACCGCATAAACCTACTCGCTTTCCCATGCTGCTCTCCGATCCCTGAAAACAGGCAAGGCCACATCCTCAGACCGTGCTCCACCTCCAAAGCACGGATCTGACTTGGCCCTGATTTGGCCACACCCTAGAGAAGGTTCCAGAACTGTCATAGGTACTGTTCCTAGAGTCTGCTGGCTTAGCCATGACCTCTCGCTGCCCACACGCACTGAGGTTTAATTTAACACCTTCCCGAAGAGTACCCAGAAAGCCAAAATCCAGATCCTCTGCCTTTCACTGACTGGGGGTAAAAAACAAACAAACAAAATAATACTCCCCGCCCACCCTACCCTGAACTCAGAATTAGCCTTAGTGCAAGCAAGCTCTTGGCTCATCCATTACCCAAACCCATTACCTATCTCTGCCTTGTAAAGTCTCTCCCCATGTATTTCCAAGTGACAGTGGGAAAACACTGATGTCAACTCTTATCCTGGCTCCTGATTATCTTCCAGTTGAGAGGTGGACTTGATTATAAGAACCCGGTGAGCAGGTGGGATCTGATCCTTCGGACAAGTCCAACATTCTGAAGCAGGTCTAGCTGAGGGCCAGAGTGACAGTGGAACTGAGTGGTTGTCCTGAGTTGGCAGCTAACTAACATTAGGGGAACAAGGTGAAGAATGAGAGGCGCACAATCCCAAGTTCATCCCCACAGCCCTAGGTAAGGAGAGCGACGGCAGGAGGTGGGGCAGGCCAAGGAAGGGGAGGGAGAGCAGGAGGAAGGCCCCTCCTGCCAGGACGGGGGACAGGAAGCCGGGGCCTGGCTCCCACTGTTCCCACACCTCACGTGATTAGGCCAACTACGCCCCTCAGGGAGGAAGCTTCTGCCCAGCCCCGCCTCCCTAAAAGGCTGGAGAAACTGCAGTTTCCTGAATCAAAGAAAAAACAGAGGCCTTAGAAAGGTTTCCTAAACACCAGATAATGGCCTTCTGATGTGTGCTGTGACCTGGAGACCTACGATAACCGCCAGGACAAGTGAGCTCTTTCCAGCCCAAGATCTCCTGGTGTTGACACTCTGCTGATCACCTTTCAAGGAGGATCTAAGTAGTGAACTTTGGGGAACGAACAGGATGGGGAAGAGCCAGGTCGGCTGTAGGAGACTAGGAACAGGGAGTTGAGAGACAGTCCTTGCAGCAGAGAGGCAGAGAAGGCTCGGGGTGCGTGGGCCTCCTTCGTGCCCCGGGAACAGTGCAGCTCTCTCCCTGATGCCCTCACAAACCAGCACACCGCATCTCCCGGTGAGCCTGTGTTAGTGAAGCTAAGCTGGCCAGGATGAAAACATTAATCTACGGGCAGAGAGCACTTACACTTACCTCCATCCGTATTGGAGAAGCTCTGTGGAAACAAAAGCAGGGCGGAGCGTTACTACACAGGCAGGGCGACCGTCCCTCCTTCATTCAACCCGCCTTTCTCCCCTAGGCCCAGGCCCCCCGTTTCCGCTGTGATGGGCAAACCCAATGCTCTCTTTGCTTCTGGAAAATTTTTGGGATCCTGAAATTTCAGGGAAAGGTTAACCATTCCTGCCTTCTACCAACTTCCTCCTGGTAGAGATTTATGGCAATTATCCAGCAAATACCCTTGGTTGTGTTGGGGAAGTGATACCAGGAAATCCAATCTTAAAATTAATTTGCTTAGACTGGTTTTCTATGGCTGATGGGTACTTGAGGAAGCAGGAGTTATGAAATGAACACAAGGCCGTGCGACATTCAGAGCTTACTGGCTTTATCGGCTCTCTCCTCTTTGCTACATGGCACCCCCTATTTCCCTCCACGGTAAAAGCTCATGTATTTACACTTTGTTTTTCAAATTCATGTTTGCTTGATATGTTCTTGCCTCACCTCTGGCCTTTTTATAAAAGGAAGATTTAAATTAAAGCCACTTAATAAGAATTGGTTTTCGGATTCTAGAGCCCAATAGAAGATGACTTTTTGGATATTAGACATATAAACAGTTTGGACGGTGGCTGGATGGGATTAATTTAATGACCCTTTTTTGTGCCTCCCCTGCAGGCCAGGTGGTCCCAGAAGACAGGCCACTCTCAGCTTCACAGATGGCGCTGGCCTCACACACCCGCCCCTCGTTCCTAGACTGTGTGGCTCAGCCTTGTCATCAACGGCAACTGGACTTTTCTCTGCTCGGCACCATTTTGCTGGTGCTCACTCCCACGTGGGTATAATTCAGAGGAATCACATTTGTTCCCTTTACCTTCTGAAAGTCCTTGAAGGATTTTTCTGTCTCCTTTAGCTTCTCTAGGATGATTTGCTCTTTGGCCGATATCTGGGACTCTTCACTTTCTAGCGCTTGAATTTCCTGCTCCAGCCTGGAAAACACACAAACAGAGCACAGGTTGCTTTATTGTCCCGCCATCGCCATCGTGGGGCCAGAGAGCAGCTCCTTCCTGGGGGGTGGCTTCCTGTCCGAGCTCCGTTTTACCTTATGCTGAGGTCCCAGGCCAAGGTTCTACATTACAGAGCATCCTGTGTTTTGGACTTAGCCACTGAGCAGAAGCTGGTCAAAGGAAAACCACCCAGAGCTACAGCCACTGGGGCATTGCTGCTGCCCTGCGATACGCACAGTGGTCTCCCTCCAGCTCAACGTGAGCGTTCTTAACTCCAAGGCAGATATTTTTACACAGCAGAGGACAGTGGGTTTGAAGGGAAACAGCTTTGTACTCTCCTAGCTGTCTCGGGGTAACTGCTGTTCTATCAGGTTGGCCAAAGGGTGAAGAGCGCATCTTACAACCACTGAGAAATGGCCAGTGGTCACTACCCTTGAGAACCTGCCATCTTTCCCTCAACCTTCCAAAAGAGGGAGAAGCCTTGGATGGACACAATAGCCCCCCACTCTTCTGGAACTTGCCTCAGTTTTCACAGCCATCAAATACATAGTTCCTGAAAGGGAAATTTCAGGGCTGCCTGGGAGACTCTGGGAATATTCCAGAACAGCAGCGACAGTTATAATATGGAGGAAGTCTGAGCAGCTGCATTCTTTCAGTGAAATGATAGTAATAAATAAACTTTTATTGGGCACTCGGTCTGTGCCAGGAACTGAGCTAAGCCTTCACATGGCTTATTTTATTTAGCAGATGAGATCATTGAGGCTTGACAAAGGATTAGTCTACTGTGGCAGAGCCTCAAAGCAAGGGTTAGACACCCTGGCTAACGCTAGACCCTGCGCCTAACCTTGCACTAAACTCTTATCATCTGGGCTCCACAGTAGTAGATCACATATTCCTGCTTTGTTAAACGTTGAGTGTGCTGGCATATGGCTGGGGTGGGGGGGCAGCAGTGTTATGCAGCAACGCCTCTGGGGTTACGGAGGGATGGATGTTCCCTGCCGAAAGGACTGTAGACTATTGTGCTTCCTGAAACATTTGATCTGACTTTATTTGTTCATGCACTCACTCGATTTTGCTTTGGTGGTCTCTTTCCCCTCCATCATGCTGGAAGCTTTGCTGCCGGGTCTGTGCCTGCCTGTTTGAGTCCTCTCCCTCCCCCACTTCCCTTTCCATCTGCCAATCTGCTGCTGGGAACAGGCTAACCAAGCCTGTCAGTCTGAGACGTAAAGTTAAGAGCGTGGAGTGAGGTCTTTGGAGGGGTGAGCAACACTGAGCTATATAGGCATGGATTTACACAGGGATGCGCTGTACCCCTGAAGACCTTTTCTGTTTCTTTTCTGGACATCAGAGAAAAATAGCTTCTGGATGGATGAGACTTTGCAGCAATGACTGTGTTACGCAGACAAACCCTGTGCCAAATGGCACCCCTCCAAATGAATCCAGTTTCAGATATTCTTACCATTTCACTCACTTACCATTTCACTTACACAAAGTGTAAGGTGAAGTCCTTACACTTACTTATCATGCCCTAGGTACTGGGAGGCCAGTGCCTATATGGCCTCCAGCCTGACCAACATGCCTATTTCACACTTTCATCAAACAGAGCTACTCCTTATGCTCCCATTTGTGCCTCACATTTTCCCCTCCTCCAAGAAACCCATCTCAAAACCCTAACCATTATTAAGTCTCTGCTCAGATACCACCCATCCCATGAGGCTTTCATGGATTCACCACCAGGAAATAACATCATCTCCTCTGAGCACTTATTAGCACATTAATTTGGTTTGCCAGAGGTCTTTTCAAGTCTACTGTATGTTAGAGCAGTAGTTCTCAACCAAGATGACTTTTCATCCCCTAGGAGATACTTGGGAATGTCTAGAGGTACTTTGGTTGGCTGTAATTCAAGGAGAGTGGAGTGGGTGATACTGGCATCTAGTGGGTAGAGATCAGAGATGTTGCTAAATATTCTGCAAGGCACAGAACAACTCCCACAACAAAGAATTATCTGACCCCAAATATCAATAGTGCTGAGGTTTAGTAACTCTAGAAACTTTATGTGCTGGAATATATATAAATTATTTATTTTCTCGACTAGATTATAAATTCTTCATGGAGAAAGCACAAATGCTCAATACATGTACATTGTATGAATGAAAGGAGCTGAACCAAGCTGATAAAAGCCACGGTTCCACCAAGGTGAGACCTCCAGGATTTCTGAAACCACGGCAAAGTCTTCTACAAGCTTTGGCTTTGGAGAGGCTGCTTGTGGGCTGGGGTGCAAATAGGATTTAGAGAAGTAGGGGGGGCAAGCAACACAGATATTAAAGAAAAAGACATATACCCCTTTGCCACCGCAAATGTTCGGCAAAATCTTCTACACACATCTCTGTAAATGATTTTGGGGAGAAACTAGAAAAGAGATATGAGTATACAATAGGGGTAACACACATGAAATAGTTGAATGGATCCAGAACTAATTCAATGGGTAAAGGAGTTCTGGGCTAGAAGTTTCCTGGAAATACTGGGTGATAGTCCTGGCCAAGTGGGTTCTGGGCAGATTTCATCTGAATCTCAATGGACAGAGGACCTCAGCAGGTATTTGGATAGATTCTGCTATTCTCCAACATATTCCTTCCCTCCCTTCTTCACCACCATTGAAAGAGTACATATGTTGACCCATTGATGTTGGTCTCGGCCGCATGATTGGATTTGGCCTCATGGTGTGCAGACATACTTCCCTGCCCCTTGACTTTGGGCTCAGCAGTGTGACCTGCTTTAGTCAATGTGATGTTAGCAGACACAACATGAGCAGAAGCTTGAAATGTGTTTGCCAACTGGGCTTGTCCTCTTGTGCCTCTGTCAACAACACTGAAGAGCTTCTCTGGGTAACTGCTGTCCCTTCAGCCTGGGGCCCTGAAAGAACACATGGGCAGTGGACTGCATTCCAACCTAGAGTCAGGAGCCACGCCCCCTTGGACCTGTACTTCACATCAGGGCTGCTCAGCTCAGCCCAGGCTAGGTGAGCAATATTCACAGAAGTATGAACAGGAATAAATGATTGTTGTTTGAAACCACTGAGTTTGAGAATGTTTTGTCATAAAGTGCTATTGTGACAACAGCTGATATAGCTCAAATGGTCTATTATAGGGATGTATATTATATATATATATATGTATGTATCCCAATTATATGATATATATATATGTGTGTACATATCCTAATTATATATAGATAGATACATAGATATACCCATAACACTCAAAGATAAAAGATTGGAAAGAATATAAGCTACCCTTCCCCCCCTTCCCCCAACCCTCAGAGAAATCTGGAAGCACACAGGGCAGCCCTTCATGAGGATTGAAATTGAGAAAGTAGGAAGGTGTCACTGGCAATTGTCTCCGGGTAACGGAATATCGGGTGATTTTAATTTTGTTCAACATGTTCCCATTTTAAAAATCTTTCACAGGCTGTGGCATAGGAAGGGAGCCAGGACTTCAGCTTCTCATGGCAAGTGAGAGGTTAAATGGGTACACTCCAACATCAATTTGCAGTCAATTAAACCCATATTTAGGAAGCGTGTTTGGCTGGATTTGGAGGGAGAGAGGCACTACAGGGGACTCTAAATAAATAAGATTGTGGTTTACTTGAAAAAAAAAACAAACACCCCAGCTGACTCCAAGTAACTTGCTTCTCCTGGTGAAGCTGCCCTGAGTGGTTAAGAATTCTCTGTGACCCGATGCCCCACTGTCCCAGCCCTATGGGTTTCAGGGCTCTCAGCTATATAGTTCAAGTGCTAAAGATTTGGGTCAAGATACTGCGTAACTGAGAAGGAACACGGAGACAGAAAGAGAGAGAGAGAGAGAAGGGAGAAAAAAGGCAACGAAACTAGACTTTTGAGATAAGAACAACTAAGTTTCACCCAAAGGAAATGAATGCAGGAAATCAACAGTGTATATATAAGTCTAAGCAACTCAGACCAATGAACAGATTTCTCTGCAAACACTCATGTGGCCTTGGGTCAGGTCCTAATGGCTCTGGATGGCCCAAGCCACTATTTTTCTTTGGGAAACCCAAGTCTTCCTGAGGAGCATCCCCCAAAATAGTGTCATGGGTTAATAAGAGTCATTCCAGCAAGGCTAGAAACACCACTGTTTTGTAGTTTCATGAGTGAAATCCAATGCAGTCTCTCCTGGAGGAGCCAAGTAGGATATTGCTGAGCTAAAAATAAAGAATGGGCAGGAAGTGTAATTTATACACAAGGTTAATAGAGACTCGTTAGGCTGAGACAGGTGCACGTAACAGCCTCTGACCGGCCTGCTCTGCCTCTTCTGAGCAAACAGCAGACTGTAATAGGTGGTAAGGAAAGGTGACACACTGCAGCTGTGCAGGTTTAATCTACTGGAGATGAAGTTGCAAGCATGGCTGGATGGTCTTATAAAGTCTACCTAACCCCAGCAGACCTTCCGCACAGGAAATACAAAGCATCTACGGCTCTAGGAAGTGCATCGATCATTCTCTCATTTCAAAATCCATTTATGCACCCGTCCATCCAGCTTTTTGCAAACACCTCTCTCTGTTGAGCATCGGGGACAGGGAGCTAAATCAGCCACAGTGTCTACGCATGAGCGTTCTTGGTCAAGTGAGGAGGCCAGCCAGTTAAACACATAAATTATAATGCAACCCAAAAAGAGCCATCATAAAGGAAAGAAGGATGTGTTGTGGAAGCATCAGCTCTGCCTGGGAGTGTGTCAGGATTCCAAGTTGCCTGCCTGATAAGAAGGGTATCGATCCTCCTCTTCCTCCATGCTAACAGAATCCTTATTTTGCTGGGTGGCAATGTGCTCAGCTGAAAATGTCCCCATACCAGCTTCCATTACAGAGAAGGGTGGCCACAGGATAGCTCTGACCAATGAGATGTAAGTAAAAACTGTTGGGGGAGACTTCTGGAAAAGTTCCCTAAAAGGAGAGGGTTGACGTCAGTG